ATACGTTTTTATATATATAGATGATCGATGCCATGCGAGAGATGAGGCTTTTTCCTCCATGGCAACACGATTGTCGACCTCCATTCAGCGGGATCGTGGAACTTTCACAACATCGCAGGAGATGGGATCGGATTCGAGGCGGGCTATCATCGGTCCGATAATCACGGGAGAGTCGTCGACGCCGGCGTCGTTCCCAAAGACTTCCCGGTCCCGTCAAGAGATAACCAAAGGTGCTGCTATCGGTCATTTACTGCAGTCTCAATGGCGGGATCAATTGTTGGGCATGGATTCCCGCGGGAACGGACGGGACGTCGAGGTGGAAGACCACTCTGCGGAAATCGGACTCGGTGTTTCCCTCACGTCGGAACGCTTTCCGGAGGTATTCGTGTCATTATAGGGTTCTTTTTCCGAAAGTCGTGCTCGGGAAAACATTTGACGAAAAATCAATCGCTCGAAGTTTATTCCTCGTCAAGAAGAGCGGAGCCTGGGAGCGGTCCAATCGAATCGCGAGACGCTCACCTTCCGAGTTCGGCTCTTCGGCAAGAGTCATCCGCTCGACCGAAGGCGAATTCGGGTCACATTTCACGGGTCTAGCTATCATCCAAGGCTGTTTACCTCAAAACAAGCCACTCAAACAGCATCGTGCAATCGCTGGAGCTCAGATGACAACAAAGAGACTCAAAGAGGAGAAAAAGAAGCAGGTATATTGATCCACATGCAAGGCTAATTCGATCGCTAAAACATTGTCTTCAGAGGGTGGCGCGGGCGCACGGCGAAAGAGGGTCTTATCGTTTCTTCCGGTTGACGAGGTGAACTGCACCTGCTCCGAACAACGCGATATCCAAATAGCCATAATATCTAGCTGCCTCGGAGGCGGAGTGAGCCGACCGACCGATCAGCCGAGTCCTGTCGCCAGTCATCCAGCAAGTCAGTCAGAGCCATTGTGCGACCCCGGTCTGGTGACAAACGATCTAGCTTCGAATCGGTCCCGCTCAGGATACTTCAAGCGTAAAATCAATGAGAACATGACCGGGGAGAGATTATTGCAGGTGCTGAGTGAGTGCGTGCTGCTCCAGGTAATCCGTTGAGTTATCGATTTCGAGGCCTTGACTTCGTCCGAAGATCCAAGTGACTCCGTCCGAAGATCCAACTCACTTCGGGAGGGACAACACTTTTGCGTCATGTGTAATTTCAGAGCGCATCAAGCTCCGCGACGCTCTCTTTCCATCTCCCGCAGAAGGTTCCGTTGAATTTTACCTCCGATGTTCTTCGGCAACGACTTGACGAACTCTATCTGTCTCGGATATTTGTACGGTGCTGTTTTCCTCCGCACGAAGGCCTGGATATCCGCGATCAGCTCTTGGGGGTCGTGGTTCAAATAATTGTCGTTGAGAACGATGAAAGCCTTGATCACTTCAAATCTCTGCGGATCAGGAACTCCGATAACACCCGATTCAAGCACAGCGTCATGCTCCAGGAGCACGCTTTCCACTTCAAAAGGTCCGATCCGGTAACCCGACGACGTTATAACGTCATCGGAGCGGCTCACGAACCGAAGATAACCGTCTTCGTCCGCGCACACTTTATCTCCCGTGAGATAGAAATCGTTTTTGAACGCCGCTGATGTCTTTTCCGGATCTCCTCTGTATCCGCGGAAGAGTCCGAGTGGTCTCCGTGGTGAAACTCGGATGCCCAAATGACCAATTGTTCCTCTCGGGACTGGATTTCCATCATCGTCCAAAACCCGAATGTCGTGCTCCTTCATTGGGGGCCCAACGGAGCCGGGCTTGATCGGCTGGCCTCGAGGCGTTGAGGCGATCAGCATTGTTTCGCTCTGTCCGAACCCTTCGCGAATGTCCACTCCCGTCAATCTTTTCCACGCGCGATACGCTTCCGGATTCAGAGGTTCGCCCGCGCTGAGGCAATCGTTGAGCTTCGGGAATCGGAAGGAGTCGGTCGATCCCGAGTTCGCGAGCATCGTCCGATAAGCCGTAGGAGGAGCGCAGAATTTCGTCACCGGAAACTCCCGCAGAGTCTTCAGGGTGTCCTGAGCCGAGAACCTCGACGAAGTATCGACGAAAACTCCGGCGCCGAAGAGCCACGTCGGAAACGTGGCCCACGCCACTTTCGACCAGCCGGGGTCGGTCATGCACCAATAAATATCGCTGGGTTCGAGACACTGATAGTATTTACCGGTCAACACGTGAGCCAGCGTATAGCTATGAGAGTGTTCCACCATTTTCGGCTTGCCGGTCGTTCCGCTCGTGAAGAAAATCAGGCAGGGATCGTTTTCAGATGTTTGATGACCGTCGAAGTCGTTCGCTGAATCCAATAAAGAGTTAAGGTTCTTCCAGCTTTTCGCTTTTCTCCGTGGGGATATTTTGTGCATGACTTGGGCATCCGCGCAAGCGGAATCGACTTCATCGAGTTTCTCGCTGATCACCACCCTGGGATCGAATCTCGTGATGCGGAGCCTCAAATCCTCGCTCGTTGCCTGGCTGGTCACCAGACAAATTTCGAGTCCGTATCTTATTGCACCCAAGAGTATTGTCCAGAACTCCGAGCATTTTGGCAAACACACCAATAAACGGTCGCCTTTCTCGAGCCCCAAATCTCGGAAAACGCCGGCGATGCGTTTCGAGAGTTCCGAAAGCTCCCGGTATGAATACTTTCGAGACGATGAGCCTTGCTCCACTGTCCATAGTGCCGGAACTCGATCATTTCGGAGCCGATTCTCGCGTTTTGCCCAATATTCGATTATGTCCCGGGCGAAATTGAAGCGTTCCGGCGTCTCGCTGAGGTCCCCGCTGCTGAGTATGTGGTTGATGGTTTCTTCAGGCGCGTACAAACTCTCCGACGAACGTCTTGATGCGAGTTGATTCAGATTCCGTGTGCCGACGCCCGATGAGCGGAGCGCGCGGATCATTCGCTCGAGTCCCCTCATCTTCCGCCACTCAAAGATGTTTGGATTGACCGCTCAAAACGTCATTCTTCGAACAAATACTTTGGAATCGCTCCTTTTGAATGATTCCATGGATGAGGGATGTCGATCCTGGAGTGAGGAGGCTCATGAGAGATAATGCATATGATCGCGATCGCCGTCTGTCCGCATGCTCTGGTCTCCGATGTTTTTGCGAGAGATGGCGGAGACATTATGGAGACGTAGAGTGAAGGTCTCGGTGCAAGGTCAGACAATAGACACTGTTATCGGGAGACCGGACAAAGAGACATGGGGTCCGAGCGCAGACTATGATTGACTCCACCGCCTAAGTGCGCGAGAGAGAAGAGTATCGTTTTTCAGAGTGACTATTTAGAGTCTGGGGAACAGATACCAGTGGGAGAGTGCTAACTCTCGAGATGTTACTTCGTTGCACGTGTCTAATAGTTTATCTTTATGAGCGATTGGCGAGGTAGAGCCGCATGAACGACTCTTTCGATAAAGCCTCCTAGTCACTAGCCACCATAGTATCCTAGCGTACTGCCGTATCATTCGGTGGACGCCCTCTCAGACCTTTAATTATTGGAACGAAAGCTGAAACACTGAAAATCTGCTCGTCCAATGAGTCCAGTGGAATCAGATCTCCCATTGAGCTCGGTGAATCGCTGCCTGGGTGGAATAAAAGGTTATATATAAGACGAGAAGACGACCAACATAGAATGGTACACTCTTTATTCATGTCCTGCATGAGAGTCGGATATATTAGGGCAAAATCTGTGCGGGAGCTAACTATTTGGATTTCGGGCGAATTAAATCGTCAGAGATGTCGGACCGTTTGTTCGCAGCCGGCGATGGTGGGGAAACCCCAGCCGCGGGGAAGATATGAATTAGCTGCGATGAGGAACTGCGTGGAAATTATCATCGATTGATCCCGAGTCGTCGATGCTGATTTCACGGCCAACCTCCGACCGCATGCTCGCAGCCAGAGCCTGCAATATCCTTCGCATCCCAATACTTGGCATAATTGCAGGGGCTCACCGGTCTGTAAACAAGCAGATCGCCATTCGATTGAATTTCTTTCACTTTCACCCGCGTCCGATTCGATCACACTATCAGGCAACTCCTTAGTTAGCGGGATGAAGCAATTCTCGCTTCCTCGAGTTACTCAATTGCAACAGCTTGGGTGTTTGCTTGGATTTTTCGCAAAATTCGGGCATCGGCTCATCCGATTCTCGCACCTTGTCCCGGTAAAAAACCTCAGTCTTCATGATTCGGATGGTTACTGCTCACCGCCAGCTATTCGGCTGCGAACTTCCCCAGCTTTGTCGCTACTCCTGGTAATTTAAGTTTTCTCACTCGGCGGCAATGTATCGTCTGTTTTCTTTCTTCTTCCTTGAGTTTCCCATGAGAAAACGCTTCCGTTCGACGCATCAGCGTGGCTCCATGTGGAAAGATAGTGCGATTCATATAGGCACTTGTGAAACGTCTTGAAACCGCGAATATCGACTTTCGACACTTGTCCGCTTCCTGTGATAGAAAACAAGCAGTCTTCCGTTTGTGGCTCCTCGAAGTGGTCTTGGTATCCGAAGTCTAGTCTAATTATTCTCGAATATCAGATTCGAGCTTTGAATGCCGCTGAGAGTTACTGGCTCTCCGAACAGGGTGATATTGAGCCCCCATAAGGAAGCGGCACGATCGAATTCGAACGGGATGCTTCCCGTCGTTATCTGATACAGATGGAAGTTTGAATAGAATTCTAGACCTTCCGTTTTCACAGTCACGGTCGCCAGACGCCATTGGACGAATTGCGAAATGGTAAGCAGACCCGCTTTAGCCGCTTGAATTGGCTGAGCGTTTATCAGCAACACCGGAAAGAAAAAGTATCATTCATGCTCAACGTCTTCCTTCATAGCTCGCGAAAGGCAAGGCGCCATGTTCACCACCGCTCGCCGGTATAACAAATCCAGCCACGAAAAAGCCCGGTGAGGACTCCGCCATCGATGGGAAGGGCCAAAGCTCAATTGCCGAGGCCGACCGATATTTTTGTGGGAGGATTAAGGTTGTCAATCGAAAAGCAAAGCTCAGGTATTAGTCGGAAATCGAGAGGGTACACTAGCGAACACCGCTTCACTGATTTGCCGCTTATGCGTTGGGAGCACGAGATAAGTACAAATAATACAATTATTATTATTATTAGGTAGTTCCGAAGGAGTCACCCATCAACGCCTCCAGTAGGAACAGGAATGCACAGTTCCGAACGTCGTGAGCGCGAGAGCGTCGAAAACAGAACCCCTTTGGATCGGAGAGAGTCAGGAATACTTATCCAATTAGAAAAACGAGACTATCGAGTTGAAAGTTCGGGCAATCGCTTCGGCTCTGATTCCGACGAGTCGACAGTACGGCTCGCGTGACCCTCACCACTCATCAATCTAATCAGTAAAACTCACGGTAGATGATGCGGAAGTTTAGGGGTCAAGACTACCAAGCCTTTGGGTCCCTCCTTGGAGATATGGATCGGTACAGGCATGGGGATCACGTGAATTGACTTGATCAGCTTCGGCAGATACTTTTTGATTTTCTTGTGCGCCACCTAGAGGGATGGGCAGAGTATTAGACCTCCGATTCCAATTTTTCCCGACGATGAGCTGCTGTAGAAGGTGCGAATCGACGGAGCGTGAGCCCTGGGGGAGCCTGGTATTTCAGGCTCCGATTTCCGGAATGGGGAAAAAACTCCAGACCCACCTTCAGGGCAATGACGTGCTTGATGCCCTCGAGGTGTTTTTGAGCCTCTACCCCAGCGTCAAGGAACGTCAACACTGCCAGCACCGACAAAAGGACCACTGCCAGGGGCGAACCCTTCATCCTGGATTACCCAGAGCCTGTTATCCGACTGGAATAGAAGCTCACTTATTTTCACGGCACCACATCATGAACTTCACTTGAGATCGTATTGGATGAATCACATTCACACAGGTGCAAGGGTGCATGAAAAAGCATCCGAGCTGAGCTCACCTTGTCCAACGGTTCGAACGCGGAGGACCGCGCGATGTGGCGGCGCCAGCTCAGTTGACCGGGTGGGTTGTTGTTACAACGGACCCTTAGCTTAGCAGGCCCATGACGGTAACAGCAAACATAATAGCACGCTCTGCCCTTACCACGGTTTCGACACCATGGAGCCGCCATCGCTGCCACCACTGCCTCCGTCGTCGCGGGCGCCGTCTGACGACCCCCATAGGGATCCCGCGCGCTAATGACCCCAGTGGCGGCAGCGGCGCCAAATCGAATGGGTGATTTAAACTGGGATGCACCCTTGCCTTGTTTCACCTTGTCTGGAGCGGCGGGCGCGTGTCTACATCGCTTTGCCCGTCCGTCTGAATGTCCGCCGCCCCGGAATCCCGCATTGTCTTTACTTCCGTCGATTGTCGCGCCCTAGACTGAGAAGAATAGGAACAGCTCTTCGGAAGGCTGTGTTCAAATTACTCCCGAGTCCAAGTAGGTATTTGTCTTGGATATCGATGGAGCTCCGCCGATTCGCGCAATGTCTTTGTCGAATCCGTCGGGATCCGCCCCACGATGAGCTCGTTGAGAATCTGTGTACCTTGTTCGCTTGCTTTGGCTCGCTGATGCTCGGACCGTGAAGGTAATCGATCCTGTGGATCGCACAGATCGTTGAAAACGCCCGATCTGGATTTGACCAAGGGTTTTCCGTCGGACCCGGCGAAAACACGGTCATTCATCATCGACCCAAAGTGACGACATGAACGACGACTCCACGACAGCGACTCGGGTAGTTTAATGCGCGAATAGCAGCTCAATATAATATGAAGCCTAGTGTTCCCAGCGAAACCCTGTCCTTTCTCCGTTTCGGAGTTCTGCAGCATCAGTGTATGTTTGCTCGACCCGTACGCATTCTATGATCATCTTTTCAGCACCTCTCCCACTACGCGCGCCGGAAGGCCGGCGTACGCGGCCGCAGTCGATTTCACCCAAGCGGACGATTACATCACTAAATCGATCTGCCTACCGGTGATAATGTGATCCGTCCCGGTTATCGCTACATTTTTTCCATTACAACCTTGTTTAAAACGCTTATATACTCCTCGAAAATAACTCCGCGGAACACTGATTTCGGACATTGAATTCGTGAGACGAAGCCAATGGATGCTCTGCTAGCCGTGTAGGGACTGATAGAAGCTGCTCGCGTGAATCCCGGAACACGGTGTGGATCCGAAAAGGAAACCGAACTCGCGATAAAACGATACAGCGACAAGAATTGCGGTAATCAAGATGAATAATTCAACAATAACTCGACTGAACAAATATGATAAGATCCCTGATGTTCCCGTCTGTCCGGACGAATTCGGAATGAATTACGTGAATCGGCAGCGAACACATCCCACCGAAGGCCCGTCCTGATAACTGAGGTTGGCTCAGTTCCGCCGTCGCTGAGGAAACCCATCGAAAGTTAAAATCAAAGAAGCTACGTTGCCGTCCTCACGGTATCATTGCGTTTTCGAGGGGCTTCCGAGACCGGGAAGATCCGGAGTTCGGGTTCAGAGTTGAACGATACGAGTAGCACGAACTACGTGACGAGAAATTTTCAAAGTTTCATCCGTCGTATGCTGCTGCCAAAGTCCCGCGTTGGTAGTAGGGGAGCAGCAGCTGCTGTTGTTGCGGCGGCGGCGGCGGCTGCTGCCGCTACCGCGACCGTCATTCGCTACTTCAGAAGTTAACTCCCAGACAGTCGACTCGGAAACTTGCGGTCAGGAATGTGTGGAATGCCTCACTCCCATTTCGCTAGCCACCGAGCCATGGTCCCAGCAAGCACCACGAAATGTCGTCCCCTCCTTCCTTCCCCTTCGTACTTCCCTAACGGTCCCTCGCCATCGCATGACGTCTCCCCACAGAGTCCGTTTCTCGAGCTATGATGTCATTTGCCAAAACTCACCTCGATGCCTCGCTGTCGTTATCGTCAGCACGAACATTGCAAAATTGGAGCGTCAAGCTACGACACTCCTCCAATCGAAATGCAGCCTCGCGACTAGCGTGTCGACTGAGCGCAGCATCAGGATTTGAAGAGCTTTTCCGAACAGCAAACGTGCGAAAATTATCCCGATGAAACGATTCCCGGCTATCGACATGGCGACGCCCGCGATTTTTCAGCCAGTTTGAGACATTCCCTGGCGGTGATGACCTCTGGATTGATCCGGAGAGGGGCAGAATAGGAGACGTCAAGAGGGAATGGTGCAGGCTCGCCACGTAATGCGATGGGGGCCGACTGGATCGGAATGGGGACTCGCAACCTAAGTCCAAGAGCCCTCGTAGTCGTAGCGGCTTTCTTCCCGGGCTCGTGGTATGGAAGTAAGCAGAAGGATGCCGTCGATGAAATTCGCTGTCTGTCTGTCTGTCTGTCCGACTGACTGGACAACATGGACGAGACTTGAATCCACTACCCTCAATCGGTCGAACGTCCTGAATTAGCCCCAGCGAAACGCCACGATGTTATTCGTAGCCGAAAAAGAATCCGCCTCTGAGAACATGCGTCAGTTTGACAGATGAGTCTTCCGGAATCAGCCCTGGGATCGAGCTTTTGTTTTCGTTACTGTGATATTAGCGAGGAAAAAACACGATTGCCCGGGAATTTTCGCGCTCTCATCGCGTGAAAAATTCGAATCAACGAGATGAGATGAGCGCGCTGACCAAAACTGACATGATGCGGGCGGGTTGAGCCAAACAGAGAAAAATGAGTCCATAGAAGGATTACTGTCTGATTTCCCTCCACGATTTTATTCGAGAAAGACTTGAGCGCAGCCGAGCTCCTCCCGAACGAGCTTCTTGGCAGAAGGAGCAAGGTCCAAGGGGGAACTCGAAACAACAATCATGAGGCAGCGAACAAGTTTGCAATTAGTTTGCAACAAGTTTACAAGTTTGATTATTCCTTATATTTTGGCCTCAATCGGGAAACTCTCATTCCCATCGCAAGCATTCCCAGAGCGTTCCCCTGAAGTTCACTGTCCCCTGTTCAGGGAGGATATTCCACGTCCCGGCGGCGTCGAACAATGGCACTGCACAACACATCATCGCACGCACGGAGTTCACGGTCAATTTGTTTCACGCCTTATAAGAAATAGATTGGGTAGGCTTCCGAGCAAACCTCACTTGTACACACACGAGCTTTGAAAAACGAGACACAGACCGGCGCTAATACGGAAGATGAAAAAAAGTCAAGGCTCACGATGGAGAGAACTAATGAAACGGCAAATCAATGACATTCCGTCCGATGCGCCGTCGGAAACTGTTGCGGAAGCTGAAGGGTGGAGTCTCTCGGGGAGAAGCATACACCAATGGATTCCCTTTGGCATCGGAGATCATGAGCGCTTCCCTCACTGGCCAATCCTGGTTCATGGCGCCGGCGTACACCATCGGGTCGCGACGGTTGGACCTATCTTTCTTCTTGTACGTCGCCGGTGCTCCGAAAAGACGCGATTCGTGACCCTGATGCGGATCTTCCTCGCGAGGATTTTCTTGGTGGTCCGGGAATCTCGGTTGGTACAGATCGTGCGGAACATGATTCGGAAGGCGATTCTGCTGCTTGCGGAAATTCGTTGAAGCGAAGTGATGGGGTGCGGGAGGTTTCCTCCGCGGCTCATGAAGTTGCTGCTTGAGAGCTCGGTCGTTCGAGACATGGAGCTCGATCTGAGGTGGAACATGATGGCTGGCTTCAGGGGGACCGGTGTCTCTGTGGTAATACACGGCATGAGAGTTCGGTCCGTGTGCATTGAGGTTATCGGCGGCTCGATGAGGTGGAGGCCTTCGATGTTGGAGCCCAGTGCTCTCCGGTCGGATCATGAGGAAGTGACGGCGATCGTGATTTCCGCCAGGATTCACGGAGTTACCGTATCTGGGAGGCTCCCGCTGCTCTCGATCCTGACTTTGATCAAAGATATTGATATTGCCGATATTGTGAACAAGGTGGTTATCCTGAGGTGCGGGGGCCTGTGGAGGACTTTCGTGCTGGTCCTGGCTCAGGAGAGGTTGCACGTGAGTTTGCGGTGGCATGAAGGGACAATTCTTCGAGCTCTCGCTCTCCGGTTCGTGGAACATCTTAACGTGAGCGTATTGGGGTCGAGGTTTCACTGACGAAACTCGGATGAAGGTGTGGTCTTCGTCTTCGTAGAGAATCTCTTTTTTGTACGGGCCCCCGAAATACTCGGCATAGCTCGAAAAGGGTCTCTTGTGATATTTCTTGAAGGATCCGTCTTTCACGACAACGTATTTCACTTTTGAATGAGCTCTCGATTTTTTCGTGTTGTACTTCGGCATTTCGTGAGAGTCGCCATTTAGCTCGGCACTGTTGGAAAGAGATTTCAATCAGAAATTATCCGACAAGGGTTCTGCCATTGCTATTCCGTGAACTCTCCACAGGGGCAGAGACATAAGCGGAGATTTTCGACGTCAACCGTATCCGGTGTCCATCACTGACACGACTCCAGACACTCACCTTTCTTGTAGCTCGGAGGGCGAAGTTATTTTCAGAATATCCGGATTTCCTCCCTGGTATCTCCTCGGAGGAGTGCGGGACACCGACAAAATTATGGGCACATTTTTCACTTGTTGGAAGGCTTTGAGCAGCGTCATTTGTTCGTTTCCGTCGCAGACATCGGGCGCCGAGATACTCCATAGGAGGAAATACGTCGTCAGGCGGAAGAGCCACATAGCGACTATTGATGGAACATAATCCTAGGACGTGAAAATTCCTCTCGTCCCGATTCTGGCTCGCAGTCAGTCCAGCACGTTGCTCTAAGCAGAGTGATACTGATACTGGATTCGCAACTCCGAGAACTCAGATGCTCAAACCACCGAAGTTCTTGCCAGTGTTTAACAAGTTCTCACCCACTTGACCGCCCACTCATCCATCCATCCATCCGTCCCTCCGGTCCTCCACCTGCTGCTTATCCACCCGAGCAGCTCGGTGTGCCAGATATGTATTCTGTTCCGCTCGAGCCTTCGGAAAGGGATCTTCATTGCCTCGGTCAGCTCATGCGGTTCCGCGGAAAGCTAAGTGAAACCGACGTTGCTAAATAACATCGGAGCAAATCAAATGAAAGTTGCTTCTTGCTCATCTTCCCTCCGACGTGCCGTCCCGCAGGCGCATGGGAATTCCCAGCCAAGATCTCTCCCCAGCCCTGTTCGTCTTCTTTGTTCAAATCATCATCAAGAACTATGACACAGACAGACGTCTGACTACGGAACAGGACGTTTATGCAGGTATCCGACGGATAATTGCGTCTCTGTTTGTTCTCAAACCCAAAACTCTCTTTCCTCGTCTGTCATGGCCGCGAGCATCCGGTCCAAGGACTGTAATCCGTCGGACTCACTCAGCATCAGAAGATTTTGGAAGCATCGACGCTAGACCCGGCGCGGATTGATCGTGAATTGCCTCCGAGAGGTACCCGAGGAGCCAGGATATGAGATATAATGTCGGACGAAAGTATTCTGCACAGTCTGTTCGGAGCTCGCCGGTCAGAAACCAATCGAGGCGAAGGAGCGTTCTCCTGATATATTGCGGCACTTTTCCAATAAGAGACGCTCCCAGTCAGCCGACAGAACAACTATGAACGTAATACCAGGGGGCGGCAGATGAGAAGGAGCTGCAGGATGGGGATCAAAGACAGACCGAGGGCATTGTGGCAGACCCTGGCGTAGACTCGGGATGATCATTCCTTCCTGGAGCTGCCAACGACCGAAGACTCATCGATCGATACATCAGGAGTGAAGCTGAGCGGGGGTAAAGGAAGTTCAGGCGTTCGTGTTCCAATCGGAGATCGTGATATCCAGGCGCCCGGGATCTTATCCGGTCGATGCCGGTACTTCGTAGCAGCCACCGCGAACTCACCAATCAAGATTATATTGGGGAACTTCACGCTTTTGTCTCAGAACGGCCAAGTGCCGACTTGGAGCGAGAATTTCCCCCGAAACTGTTCAGAAGACACAGACAGCATTTGGACCGCGAACACTTCTCGTCTGCTTTCCCGTCGAGAAGTCCCTGATTCAGCAGCACCAAAGTTTATAGCGGAGCGTTCCGCTGTACGGCTTTGGTGAAGAATTGCGTCCCGCATAGGTAGTTCAAAAGCGGGAAAATCCGTTTTCCTCAATTTTTATCAGAAAATAGATGTTGGAAACAGTCCGGGAGGATAAACGTCTCAAATTCGGATTGCTCCTAATTTTAAATCTAAGAAGTTTTTGGAGACTCGTCGATTGCGGGAGATATCGGGAACGGCGCCGGCGAAAGCAAAGCCGTTATATCGGGCAAGACTTCACCTGGCGTTCGTCCATATCCCTGCTGCTCCCCGAAGCACTCTCCCGCCTGCCGGAGGGGTGCTGTCGGAATGCTCTACAGATATCGCGTTCGCTATTCCACGCTTGGAAAACAGATTCGGTAGTGTACGCTACGTAGGGACGGCCCGTGCCGGGACTACGATGGTCCAGAAATGGGAGTCGGAAGTGATTCGGAAGTTGAAGCGAAGGCGACCGACTCGAAAACCAGCCTCCCGGAACAACGAGGGAAGCCGCGCGGTGCAGCATCAGCTGCAACAGATCCGCTACCGTTGTTCGGCACAGCTCTCAGCGCTGTCGATAGCGAGTGCAATGTGGGTGACACCAGATATTAGTTTTCTTATATCGTCTTCTTCCTATCTATCTCCCTCTGGGTGTGTGTGTGCGTGCGTCTGCGAGTGGATGTGCGTCTGTGTGAGAGTGTGTAGAAACAGATCAGCTACGTTGGTATTGGAAAGAGGAGTGGAGGGATCGCGCCCCTCTCGCTCGGCCGATGTCACCCCAAAAAATCCCTCCTCGTCCCTCGCACTAGGATCCGGGAGTGATTTGCTGACAAACAAGCAAATTCCTACGGCCCTTTACGTCGAACGGGGGAGAGGGGCGTGTACGAGCGCCGGAACGGAGGACGTTACGAGGACAGCAGCGCTAGGAGAGCTAATACACCAGAGCCGACTCGAAAAAGACACACGTCGGGAGTGCTTTCGTCTGGCAACATCCCCCTACAACGCTCAGCCCACCTCTCTATACGCCCAAGGCGGTAGCCAACGCCTCCTCCCTGCCCCTGCAGTCGCTAGCAACCAAACATACAAAGTGTGGAATGCAACAAGAAAGCACAACGGCAGCAGCGGCAACGACAACAACGACAACACAGGCAACATCACCGACTCGGTGCGCTTCTTGTGTTCTTCTCAGGACCTCAGCCGATGAGAATGCAGAAAATACCGCTCTCTACTCCCTCTTCTCTTCGGAGCAGCTTCGATCTGTGCTCACGGCAGCTGCAGCCTTCGGAGAGGACGCGAAAAGTTCGGTACGCGTCCCTTAAAGAATTACCATCCTGTCAAAAACATAATGCGGGGAGATCGTCACTCTGAGAAAAGATTCTCACCGGTCGGTCGATCCATCCGGAACACGAACTTCCAGCTCACTTTTGAGCCCTGAAACTGTGCGCCGAGCCGCAAATAACGTTTAAAGACCGATCATGGACTTATACATGTCATCGTATTGAACAACAGCCGATTTATTAGAGCGGAATAATCGAGATTCGCCGAACGAGGACCTTTACAAAATCTTTCCAGAGTTTCTCCGCCAGGCAACGGGCTTGAGGATTCCCGATAATAATTCGTCCGGATTCGGAATCGGCGAATTCCAAGCGGAGGGACAGGTCTCACGTAGCTATTCGAATTGTTTACTCCTTCCATTGGTGATTGCACTTCATATTACAGCACTTGTAAAATGTGGTCATGGGTTCGTCGGCGCTCCTAGTTTGCATTTGTCTGAAGAAGGCACGCGGATGCTCGCACTTGGGACATGCTTCCTCTGTCGAGTCTACGTTGGCCCAGGCGGCTGTCGAGCCGAGGATGTCATCTATCGGCTTCAAGCGAGGATAGGTTCTCTTCGAAATACATTGTCGGATCTGATATACGTAGGGACAGGTGGGGCAGACGAATTTGAAAGCTTCTGACCCTTCTTCGGCCGACAACATATTCGCGCATCTCGGGCAGAATAATAACATCGCGACGAGTCGGTCACCTATACCCCCTCCTCAGACGAGGGAGACTTCTTACTCGGGAGCCTCAGCGCCTTAAACGCCCCACGGAACACGGAGGTCTCATCTGGAATGCCGTTCGTCTGGTTAGCCGATTGCTCCATGCCGCTAATTTCCTGACAGTGAGCCAGGCATAGAATGACATGGGACATTTAGCGTCTGGATATGTTAAATTAGGAAAATACTCGGAATCACCCGCTCTCTAAAGAACTAGCTATACTCTTCGATAGTGTCACATAGATAGGAAATTGTTTCGAGCCCATCTTCAAATCCTAAGCAATCCGGTACGGATACGGCTCATGAAAATGGAATCATTCAAATAATTGTCTGGAGAACCGCGTCAAATACTGAGAATTTGAGCTGTACACAATCACATCAGAATTATTGTACATAGCGTTTGGCAAAGTTGGCTAGGGAAAGAGGTCAAAATATATATAAATAATATAATATTATAAATATATCTCCCGTCGTTCATACTATCAGTGGCTCCCCCACGTCCTGAAGTAGGTTGTTTCTAATTCATTGAGCTCGTATTCAACGAATTGGTCGAGGAAAGTGATGAATGGGAACATGTCGAAAATGCCCTGTTTCAATGATTGGAGTTTCGATTTCACATGCGTCTCGTACAAAGGAGCTCGCAGGAAGTACTCGGCCAGACCCCGTGCTCTTCTGGAGAGCTCGATTTTCTCTGGTTTCTGGAGCTGTTTCGTGCCCTGCTGCATCTGCTGTATGCTCAATGCGTCCATTCCCAGAGCGATGAGGAAAGGTTTCCACGACTTCGTGCCGAAAAGTTTCATGGCGAAGAGGTGCGCCATTGGCGTCATAAGGTACATAACCTCGCCGATGAGCTGCGGTCCTTGGAGTTCGGTCGGCACGAATGAGAACTTCTCTTCCATCTGCTCCATGGGATCGACTTTCTTCGTTTCGCACCAACGCCGTTTATTCAGCGGGGGCGTGGCGGCCAGCGTCCGAACCTCGCGTCCCGATTTCAAGGTGAAGGTCGCCTGAGCTCTCTTCTCGTGGCGGAGAGACCGCAACTTGGAGGCGTATTCCAGGTCTTGGCCGCGCTCCAAGGGCGGTACGGGAGTTTTCATTGACATTCCCTGTTTGAAGTGGAACAGGAGGACGGCACGGATCACGGTTTTCGCCGTCTGAATGAAAGCAATCATCGACCACCGGTACGCGTCGCCGCTCGCAAAGAAAGTGATCTTCTCCAGGAAACACTGGAGATAGTCCAAGGCCTGGAGAATGGTCTTCAGGGTCGAAACTACCTGCACTGCGCTTATCGGAAGCGCATGATGCCGTCTGAGAATGATGTCGTGGGCAAGCTGCACGAGCTTCGCCGACGCTCGCATGCCCTCATTGAAGATCTCCCAGCCTCCATGTACTCGCCAGAAGGTGAAAATTTCGATCACTGCCTCGACCTGCTTCGCAGCGATCGGGTTTTTCTCGACGAATTCCCTGTATCGAGAGAGGACCGACATTGTTGACGACGACACAGATGACGTGGGTGAGGAACTCGAAGAAACCGGCGGTGATCCTCAATGGAGTCTCGGTGGAAAAGGCACACAATCACAATCGAGACTGAGTCCTCGAACGACTGAATTGACGGCTCGGATCTTCCACGAGCCGAGCTCCGAATATTCTCCGTGCTCAATCACTCGATCCCGTCATGGAGCCATTGTACGAGGAAATTTCCGTGAAGACCGAACAGAGAACGTTTTCGAAGCTTGAGCAACCCGTCAAAATGGAGTTGCTACTGATTTCGAATTTCCAGCGGAAGAAGAGTCTTCACCGATTGTTGCGCTTGAATGGGTGGATCGGTATATTGGGCTCGAAACGATCGGATCAACTCTCCGGACTCACCTAAATACTCGAGGAATCAGACCGCCTCTCGGTTCTAAGCTCTCGATGTTTGAGATCGTGGCGGAAAAGGCGACTTGTTTTGGCGGAGAAAAGTTCGTCTGCTCTTCACAATCATCCGCAGCACCAGGCAACGAGTGAGAAAGAGAGAAAAGATCATAGAGTTGGAGGACTTTGTGAGAAGCAAGACTCTGTGGGTGAGCTCTTGGAATTTAAGAGGTGAGCGATTGTTCGGATTCTGCCCCGGCGTGCGTTGAAATCTCGAGAGCAAGCTAGTCACGTTAAGAATTTCCCTCTTTGGGATTTCCTCGAGCTCGGTCCTAGTGCGGAGTTTCGCTGAGCGGATAGACAGCTCGGCTGTACGAGCTCTCGGCCCTCGAACGACGCAAATATGACGATATTTTTGGCTGTCGTGCGGATGAGGTCCCAATCGCTCATGGCTGAGCTTGTCGGGAACTACGCATACGGTGAGCGGAGCTGCCCGAGTGACGCAACCGTGGGTATTTCTGAAACGAGTCCGAGACCACTGCCGGTTCACCAGATTCTGGAGAGCGGCGCTTCTTGGACTTTGGACCATGCCCCTGTATCATTGGTCGGAACGAGGAAATGTCGACTCATTCTCCTTGGAAATCGGTTCAAGTGAATTAATGCCTATGAGACTTCCACGACTTCCGGGAGAAGGAAATTCATTCCTCTAGTTGTGGGGGCTCCCCGGAGTCGGCAGATTCCTCGAGCGAGAGAGGAGCTCGAGCCCTCCATGTGCGGCAACGGCTCCCGCGGTCCCTTTGCTTGTCGAGGGTCGAGTTCCAATCCAATCGCCTCCGGTAGATTCCATGCCGTAGGAAGCAGAACTCGA